ATCCACCTCCACTTCACCTCCAGTTATCATCCAGAAGGAGATGGTCAGACCGAATGGATGAACCAGATGCTCGAGCAGTACCTGCACATCTACAGTAACTACCAGCAGGATAATTGGTCCGAACTCCTACCTCTTGCGGAGTTCGCATACAACAACGCTCTGAATGCCACCACAGGCATCTCTCCGTTCTTCGCCAACAAAGGCTACCATCCGAACATCACCGTCCACCCAGAGCAAGACCTAACATCAGTACATGCCCAGGAGTACTCTGTAGATCTCGACTCCCTCCATCACTTCCTTCACAAGGAAATGCACCTCGCTCAGATCCGTTGTCAGGGCCCAGCAGACTCCTGTTGGAGTCCTGCCCCAGCTTTCGAGGTAGGGACCTCAGTCTATGTAAAGGCCAAGTATTTCCGCTCCACCCGACCTTCCAAAAAGCTCTCCAAGAAAAACCTCGGCCCATTCGAGATCATTGCTCATGTTGGAACTCACTCTCTCACTCTCTGCCTGCTGGAAAACATGCAAGCCATTCACCTGGTATTCCATGTCTCACAGATTGAACCCTCCTTCCCAAACGTCATTCCGAACCGCCACCAGCTACCTCCACCTCCCATAGAAATCGAAGGCAAGATCAAGTTCGAGATCGACCGACGTAGACGCAACAAGTTGCTCTACCTGGTCAAGTGGCTAGGCTATGAAGGGACCGATGAGGAGACACAATGGCTCCTTGCCAGCGAACTTGATCACGCCTCCAACCTCGTCAAAGCATTCCACTTTCGGTACCCAGATAAGCCTGGACCCAAAGTGCCTTAGGAACCCCGACTCCTCTCCCATCTCTCCCATTCTCTCCACTCCTCACTTCCGTTTTCATTTTTTCTTCTGTAAGTACAGCTCCTGTTACGGATACGGAGTCTCCAACGACCTATCCATCGCATGGTCAAAGACTTCCCCTCTCTATCGCTCCTCCCCTCTTTCTCCTTTCCGTCCTCTATCCCGCTACCCTATCCTCCTTACCCGTTCTACCCCTTTCCCCCCCCCTTGTGCAAAGCTTTCCCCATTGGGGTTTTGGTGCTGGCCGAGGTTGTTTGTGTTTCGCGGGATTTCCCGTGACCTTACCATTTGTAGATAGTCACGCGTCATGTATGGAAACCGCTGAAGGCGGTTCCCGCTAACTAACAACTGCTCTACAACTGTCTCGTGTACCGTCTTCTGTAACAACCCTCCCTGTGACTCAACTGAACCCGTGTGACTGTACAACTCTCAATATGTCTTATAAGTCTGGTTATATCGAGTCCTCTAACGGCCCTCGCTGCGAGAACTCGAGGTCGAGAGTCGAAGACTCTCGACATGTGTATCGTCCTACTGAATCTGTACCCTATGGGTCTTCATCACTCCGCTCTCCCCCCAGTACTCAACATACGACGTCACCTCACGATCTTGGAGATCGTGAATACTTTGAGGCCCATCTTCCCGTGATGCCGGCACGTTCACTACGCGAACACCAAGTCGCCGCCCATCCACCGTCTGTTCCCTCCTTCGCCAGTCATCATGTTTCCCTGCCAACGGTACGTTCCCTTTGGGAACGCCAAGTCACTGAAGGTCCTACTAGTCAGTCCTCATTGCACGCCTATGACATCAACCCGCTACCGGTATGTTCGCACTGCGAACGCCAAGTACCCGATAGCAACTATATGAAGTTCTCACCCATCTCACAAGTCGCGACCTCGCACACGGTACGCTCCATTGAGGAGCACCATGTACCCGTGGCTGACCCATCCGTCCTGGCATCTCCGACTACGTACCATCAATCCCTTAATAGCTCACTACATCACCAATCGCGATCGATGGGAACTCGATCGTCCACCCCCAGGCAAGACTGTGATCACTCATCGATTACATATCCTGTTATGGTACAGACCAGATATGACCTCACTCATCCCACTATAAGAACGGATCGAGGAATGGGGAATTTCCCCCATCCCCGTAACAGCTCCCCTCACCTTACTAATTCTGGGCCTTCAAGGGTTCAGGCCTAAGAAGGGGATACTGTCATATCCATCCCTGGCCATCGACTTCCACTCCCTCCGATCCCTCTGGTCTACCTCCACTCCTTCTTCACTAACCTTGGAGCTCCTGTATTCTGCAATCACCTTGGTACCCCTCGATGGTCACCACCCCCTCTTTTCAATTTATTACCTATGCCTCCCTAAGTATGGAGCCCTGAAGGCTTCCAGACAGCTCCAATGTCCGCTAGCGCACTCCTGCCTCCGCTGGGCAATACACTCGCTTGCCCTGCAAGCCCACCTTCAGGCCTATCCCTCCTTTCTGTTTCTGGGTTATCGCCTACCTGTCAGGGACAGCTCCGAGAGTGGCGAGGTCCCTGCATGCGGGACTCGGTGGGACAAATAGCGGCTGTGCGTAGCGGCAATCCCATCGCAGGGTGAGCATCCCAGTCTGAAGTGGGAAGTTGAGAAGAAGGCTGCTTCTTCTGTTCCCACCCCAGGCACTATTATATACATGCGGCTAGGGTCACGTTGAAGGAGAGAACGAAGGAAGGTCAGTTGGGAGGTTCAAACGAGACCACCACCAAGCTGTTCCCTGGTTCTTTAGTTAGGATGGGGAAGTGTACTAGTGTTATTTATTGTAAATATAGTACCAATTCGAGTGTTTTGGCTAATTCTATTTTTATGGGTTAGTTTTAAAGTTCCTGGGAATTGACTTACAGATAAACCGAACCCTGCGGAGCTGTTTCTTTATTGAAATTTCTTGATTTGTCTAGGTGTAATTCTGTGTAGCATTGTTTAATTTGGATTTAATCTTGAATTTAATCTTCTACTTGGTGAAGTTTCAATGATTCTATTCAGTTAATGAATTTGGATTGTGTCTGGAGTGTCCCTTGAGTTTGTTTTATTTTTGTTTTATTTTATTGCTTGTTTTAACAGTAGCAAGATAACTGTTTTGTGTTTACACTTTGAAATCTGGAGTGTTAACCAGCTCTCCTGTTGAAATATCTACTTAATATTTCTCTCCTTTATTGCTGCCTTTTACTACAGTGGCAATCTCAACTGTATATCACTTTTTTGCACTGGAGTGAAAACCAGAAATGCTTGAGAAAAATAATACTCTATTTTCTTACTTCTCTAAGGGGGGCGAAAAGTCGCAGAAAGGGTCTCCCTTTTATACCCCTTGGGTCGCCTTCCTTTTTCACGTTCTACCTTCTATTTACAGGATTTATTTACAGTGTATTTTTTCTCAAACTGAATAAAAAATGAAAATTTCACGCTATAGTTCTACTGCGCTTTTGCTGCACTGAACTGCGGTTCTACTGCGGTCAGACTGCACCTAGAATCCTTATTGTCCTCCCTTGCCTAAGCTATTTTAATGGTTAATTGGAACTTGGCTGTACTGTATTTGTCGCAGTTACCTATTTCAAATTCCCTATATATACCATTAATTTGCTATGACTCGATGATTCTGAATTCAAACTTCGCATTACTATGTGTACGGCTGTGCTGAGACCTTCAGCTGATTTATTCCAATTTTATTTAGTGACATTTAGTTAAAATGAGACTGAAATGGTAAATGAGTGAATTATTCAGGTTTAAAACTGAAAGAAAAAGTTGCTAGTAGTCAAGAATTACTCAAACGAATGGGTTATAGCTCTCCACTTCATTAGAACATCGTTCCCTAAAATTCCCACCATGGTCCATCGTAGTTTAGTGGTTTTCGTGAATTTCGTTCATATTCCCTGATTCCCCTTTGTATTATCACATCCTAATCCTCCATATGTATTGTTTGTTGTTATAGTAGGTTGTTCTTGAAGATATCATATTTTTATGTATTTTATTTAGGACTCTGGACCTCTTGAAGCTGTCTTCCCGCGCATTTTCAGGTTTCTAACTTCATGTCCTTGTATCTCATTCATTTCTGGATATTTTCTCACGTTCTTGGTATCATAAATTTTAATTTATTCCCACCTTTCCAATGGTGCTAAGGTTGTGTCCTATTTCCTGGTATTCGTTGAGTTAGCAAAGGTTCGCGCACACATTCGGTAATCACGTGCATCGTTCCCATAGTCGTTCATATGCAGGTGCCGTTTTCGTTTAATTGTTCGGGATTTATGATATGTGCAGGTGTTTATTTCTTTCATATGGGCTTCTGTGATTTATTTCAGATTTTTCCCTCATGATCTAAGGTTGTTTTGCACTTTCCATGCTTTGTTTTGACCGGGCTCTTCCTTATTTGGACGGAAATTGGTCTTCGTGATCTGCTGAAGTGCAGATCTCGGTTCCGACGGCCGGTTCCCTGCGCATCGCCACCCTCACGTGTCATTATACATGATGCGGATTTCTATATTCCCATCATGGGTATAACTTCACAACAGCTGAACCGTTTGGGCTGAAAATCTGCATAACTATAGTTCCCCATTTTTCATAATTTCCGTGTAAATTTCGTTGTATGTTTTAATTATGGATCCTATGCAAACATCGTCTTTTCCCTGAGCTCGGACTTTTGATGTCACTATTCCATTATTGGATATCTCATTAACGCATGATCCTTTTATTATGAAAATTTGGGAGGATTAAGATTAGATCCATTCCTTTCTAATGGCCTATCAAGCTTGTTCCGGTCGTTACTGGTTAATCTTCGCGCCTGCCTTTTAGATATTGTCCTCGTTTTGCAGGAGTTTTAGTCATATCTCTGTCGTTTATGGGTAGGTTCTCTGATTGTTTTTATAGTCAAATCTTGGTCAATTGTTCTAATTTTTGGTTTAATGTTTGCTATAAATTCCCCCAAGAATTCTGTCTCATTGATGGTAAGCTTGAAGTATTTTTGCTATTTTTCTTTCTTTCAATTTATCGCATATAGTCATAAAAATTCGTAAAAATTCGTAAAAATTCGTGTCCTTCTGTTTTCTCATATCTACTTGTTGTATGAGGTTTTGTGATTCATCTGGCATATTTCCATAATGGGTTTCCATAGTGTGACCGTTATTTCTCCTACAACGCTGGAGTCTTTGGGGAATCTGGTGTGTTAGGTTCCTCAAAAGTGACTTTATTATGTGTGGTATTGGACTTAGGCATACTATGTGGTGCAGGGGGACAGGATGTGGAGGGAGTGGCTCTTTGTTTCCCTTTTTCTCTAGGGGTGAACTCTCCGTCCATCATCGGCTCGTCTTCCTGTGGCATCAGTGGCTGTTTCAGAATCCTGGGTGGCAGGGGTATCTTGACATAAGCCCGATTGGGGGCTGGTGCAGTATTCACCTCCTCTGGTGGCATGGTACGCCTCATTGGCAAAGGTGGCTGATCATATGGCTTGGACTTGGATGCTTTGGGCTTATCACTGTCACCGCGCTCCACTGGGCATGCATACGCTGGGTAGACTTCAAATCCCCCTTCACCAAGGGTAGCAAATTCTCTATTGGCAAGCTCATAATTGCACATCCACTCCAGAGTGGCTGCACTACGCATATTAGCTCTTTCGCAGATTAAATGCACTAATGGGCTTCCATCTGTTGAGTGAGGAAGTGGGCTTCCATTGTTGTGGGGACAAGTCCATGCATGGTAAAAAATCAGATTCTGCAGAATTTGCCCACCAACATGCACTACATATCCGCTGACACTCCCGATGCTCATTCTATCACTATCCAACACTCCATACACTCACTCCTTATTTTTCCATATTTTCCCCATCATTCCCGACAACCCCAAGCAAAATTCCCATGCCCAACCATGCCGCCAATTTCACCCCCTCTCTAGATCTCCATAACCACACATACAACCCAGCCATTTTTCTACCCGTTGGTGATGCTATACCTTTCTCCTTTACCCACGGAGCATTTCCCAGAATGGCAACCCCATATCCAGATGGTTCAGCATGGAGTAGAGTTTCACGGGTCTTGACAGCACCTGTCAATGACCACATCTCAAGAACTACTGCACCAATTGGGACAAATAAGGGCTCGTTGGAAAGCTGGAGACGAGGAGGTTGCTGACGGGAGGATAGGTGGGCGCTGTGGCGAAGTGTGGCGGAGTTAACTTTCACAATCCCCATTTCGGACCCATTATCATATATCCCCCATTCATTCATATTTCTTTTATTGTTTCTTTGTTCCTAATTGGATATTCATCATGATGGAGCCCCAGGATTTGTCAGTTGTGACAGTCACAGTGAGTCCGAAACCCTAGGTGCCCTTTCCACCCCCCTTCTTCTTTCCCTTTGGTGAGGGAGCAGCTGAGAGTGGCAACCCTTGACTGTGGTCTTGCCTTCCTCCCTGCTTGCAATGCATGCACAGGTTCGTTAACTGGGAGTGGATTCTGCTACTCCTAAGCTGTCTAGCTAAACATCAGGCTCTAGTGACTAGAAATGGAATCAGAAAAATAAGAAATATGTAGGAGGGAACATTGGCTAAGGGTGGTAGAATCATGGGATTTGGCTTGTTTATGGTACACCAGCAAATCCCCATTACAGTGCACAAAAGCATGCTTGTCTACTATTTACCAAGCCACATGTATATGCCAACTTTGGTGTACACTCATACATGTATATAAAGTGGTGTGGGGTGTAGAAAGGCTCCTTAGCCTAACTACTCCCCATTGAAGAATATAGCTTGTTACAGCATATACTTTTGACAGACTGGGAACTAGGTGACTTACACATATAAGCTACATGCTTCAGGTAGAACCTACCAATGTACATACAGGGAGGCAATAGCCAATCCAACCAATGAATTCTACGAACATTTTAGCCTACAGAAATGGAGTAAAATCGTAGTTTTCCAATCATACAAACCATATATAATTTAGTGCACCCATTGCCAAGTTATAAGGGAATCTTTGCAATGTGCCCTGTTGTACTGTCAGGGATCAGCAATGACCCTGGACCCTATGCTGGCAATTCCCATCTACTCCACTTACCTAAGCCCTGGTGGCCCAGATCATCTCCGGCATTGTTCTGGAACATTCTATGATCATGTGATTCTATTGGCAATCCATTTGGTTTCCTTATTGCTGGACTCTACATGTATATAGCTGACCCTAAGATGGGGACATCCCTTTCCCCAGCTTTAATCACAACTAGGTTATCAGAGCAACCTGCACAAGCATGCATGTTGTAGGCAGGATAATCACTCACACACAGAGCTGGCTCGGATACCCACTTCTATGACTATAAAACGACTTTCATTCACATGACAACTCGGTACAAATTTGGTATCTAGAAATAGTGCTAAATCCTACGATTCCGACGATATCAAGAACATCCCAATTGGTGGAGATTTGATGGAGTTCCATGTTGGGCAAGTTAGTCATGGGCATGTGCGGGCGTGGGAATCTCAAGCAGCAACCCAGAATTCCAGCCTCACTCATTCCCACGGCGTCTAATAAATTGGTAAAAATGCTTATCGGCTGTGTGAGAGTTATCTCCGGCTTGATTTCCAATTTCGGCTCATAATTCCATAAATCCGTTGAGAAATCGCTTATTTTCTTTTATTTTCATATTTTGCCATCATTTCAGTTATTGATTGATATTCTTTTATTGTTACTATTACCTTTTTTTATTATTTCGCCTAATAAGGTATGCAGGTGCCATATGGCATCAATATTTCCCATCTATTATTTCTAAAAATAATTATTTCTTATAATCCTGTGCATACCGGATTTTTAAAAAAAGAAGTTCTCCCCTCCCCCAAAATTCTCTAAGGTGCTAGGACATGCTAGAGTTGGAGTGAGTGTGTGGAATCCAACAGTAGGAATAAGGAACTGTCTAGCCCACAACGAGTGGGTAGTAGATTAGTTGAGCCCGGACCTTGCGGAAATCCTGGAGAACCCACACAGAGTTTAAGGATCGAGTGTCAGGGTTCAGCACCCTGCCTTAGGGTGCCCCGGACTCCCCACCTACTTTACCCCCTTTTATTCTTTGACTGTTGCCTTGTTGTTGCCTTTGTGTGTTGTGTACACACGCACGCACAGGATAGCGTGGGAACTTTCTGAGTGAGCAGCTCACCCAGAATGTTCCCACGGGTCACAGCCACAGTTCTGGGTGAGCAACTCGCCCAGAACGTTCCCACGCTTACTGGGCACTGCCACCTGGATGTTCCCTCCAGGTCACACTACACAACTCTAGGAGCTGTATAGTTGTGGGCATGTGACCCATTCCTTTATATAGCAACCATGCAGGGAGATGAGACCTTTACCCTTCTTCTCATCTCATGCCCTGCATAGGCAAGTGTATATACATATTATCCTCCCTTTTACTATACATCTCATGCCCCACATAGTGTGAGGACAGGTTAGATGGGGGTTGAGGTCAGGGAGCCTCCGAGTCCGAGGCCGGGCCCTGACATCGAGAGCGTAACAAAGTCTAGTCAAGAAGTAGGAGTTTTGGAGAGTTTGGCCCCACAAGCTTAGTCGGCATAGAGAGCCGCGAGCCCTCTTTCAACGTCCCCTGACATGTACCCCCTTGTACCCCATCATCTTACTCAACAGTTTACTTCACAATACTGAAACAAATACACAAATATCATTAACATTGCTGAGACCCACCAAATCAAAAAGAAACCAAGCGCATAGCTGTTCAGGTTAGAGGACTATTCAAGAAACAACCTTTGGAGGATGCATCTTAAGCAAATGTCAATTATCTTGAGATATAAAATAACTCTAATAATTTCTTTAGGCTAAAATAGGTCTACTATTATCAAAGAATCCTAATATTATTTTTTGGGATTTTATGGGCCCTTTAATTTCTTGGGGTACAAAAGTTAAAGAATGCAGAATATCTTGGGATCTAGCACACCCATAAAGAAGCTGTTTGCACCAAAATAGGTCTACAGTCATCAAGAAATATTAATATGATTTTTCTGGATTTTTTTGGAGACTTTCATTTTTGCTACTTGATGCATTTTGTTGTGTCTGGGAAAGTATTTTGCATTTTTCTCAATGATTTATTGGTCAATTGTGGAAAATAATCATATATTTGGGAAACTATTTTCAAGGACTATCCATATATGTAAAGTGTGTACAGAGCAATCCCCCAGGGATTGGTAGGTGGAAAACTCCATAGTGTGAGAATTTAAATGGAAAATTCCGAAAGGGCTATCCCACTGCAAGATAGGTCACATGACCTCACATTTGTGCTTGCTTCCTATCACCACAACACAACTGATCTGTCCACCACACCTGCAATTTTGTGCAAAATCCCTTGAAAATGGTAAGATGCATTGTTCATGTTGCTGCCTCTCTGGATCTTCCAAATCTCTCCACAACATGGGTTCTGAGCTTGGATTTCGCACAATTTGTGTGAAAACACATGTTTTGCCAAAACCTGACCCAGATCATAGTGGATCTGGGTCCAGCTTGATTGTTTCATGTCTGTAGGACATACAAATGCAATCTATCATGGTGTCAAACCCAGATTTGTTGAGGCAGCTTTTACTTACATAATCCCTAAGAAATGTCCCCTGAATACCAAATTGACTCCCAAAAATACATCAGCAGTGCAGCCCTCCCTGAGGTAGCCCTGGCCCTAGAACAAAGTTTCAACACAAGGAAGGATGATTCTTGGTTGGGGAAGGTCAAGGTACATTATATTTCATTTTATTCCTCAAGAGATTTTGCTGATGCCCATGGCAATGCAGGTCAGGTTGTCCCAGATGGAGCAGCTCCCTGGCAACTGGGAGGTCCAACCAGAGGTTGTTAAAAGTATTCTGAAGCATGGGGAATGACCATCACCTGTGACAGACACCCTATGTCTGGCATTCTCACATCAGAGACAGGCAGTGTGAGGCTGGGGGCTTTGGAATTCTTACCATCACACCTCAAGGTCTACCTGTGCCATGGTCAGCATAGGAAGCAGGTCCTTGAGAATGCCATCCAGTTGGCTTTGACCAAGGAAAAAATGGCAGAGACTGGAGAAGAGCATCCTGAAGCCCACAAGTACCCACTCAAGGAAGTGCATCAGCATAAAGATGCGTTTTGGACAATGGATGTCTACCAAAATTGTAAGTTGTGCATCTTTCATCCTGGCCTCCACACTAATTATTTTCCCCACCACTGAAGCCTTAATGACTGATTCCATGTTTTTCACCTGGGTACTTCAAGATAATGCCCCTGTGGAAAAGGCTCCAAATCTGTTGCTTGATTATGTCAATGCCTATGGAACCTTCATCAACAGCAACCAAGTCCCCACTGGCCTACAGAGGAGAGCATGGTGGTCAGGGATGCTTGAGAGCAACAATTCACTGGAGCCTTTGAGGCCTGTCCTTCGTTCAATGGAGATGCTGAGAGTTATGACTCCCATGAGAAAGGTCAAGTGGTTCATCCAATACACAAAGTCATCATTTATAAGGCATATGGGGGGGATGCAAAATGTAAGTTGAACATTTCCCCCTTTTCTCCTACTCTTCTTGCTCACTCAGTCACTTAGTTCTGGGCAGCTGCCTTTGAGATTTGTCTCTGGCAGCTAGCCATACTTTGCTCCGATGGTCACATCCTTGGACCTGAGGATGATGAGCAAAGGTTCAAAAACATCGACCATGACCACCTTCCCCCATCCTCACATCTCTCCCAGCTCACATTCTCAAATATCAAAGAGGACCTTGAACATCCCAAAAGGCACAAAAATCTGGTTGGAGCCAGTTCAAGAGGGTCCAGAAGGTTCCTGGTGAATTCCCTGGGAACCTACTTCAACCTGGGGAGAAGAGGAGTGGACATTTGAGCCTGGGATAGTAAGTAACATTTTTCACTTGCATAAAATCCCAACAAATGCATTGCACCTCATTTCTACCACCCTGAACATCTGCTCACAAGGTCTGGTTCACTGGTGACCAAGTTCACTGATGCCAAGTATTGCATGGAGACTGTAAGCAACTTGTCTTGTCATATTTTTCTAATAATGGAAAACTGATCACCCTCAGTTTGTTGCATGTGTGTGGGGGACCAATGTGTTGTTGAATATCACCATGAAGGGGGGCAAGCATGATGAAGCTCACTTTGATGCATTCTTCCTTCCCAACATTGCTGCCTTCTTTGACACTCTGATCCCCCACCTGGTGAAGTCATCCTGCCTGCACATCGATTCCATTGCTCATATGTTCTTCAGGATCAATCATCCCCACTTTCAAGCATTGTCTGATGGCTGCTGCCAGGTGCTGGACTGTGGAAACATCAAGCCCCACGTTATTAAGGTATTTTTTGGTCTGTTTCTCCAAGTTAGCATTCAGAAATGGCATGGCAGGCATACTGCACTGGTTGGTGTAAAAGAGATGGTGGTGCAAGTAGCTCCATTGTTCCTCCCCCCAAAGGATTTCAGAAAACTCCTCTATGGTCTGGATGAATATAAGGTACTTGACAAGGAGGTTGGAGAGGCCCTCATGCAAAAAACAGGTGATGTACTTCCGTTGTTTGGTTACAGAGTTTGTCATATCCATACAACTCCGGACCCCCACTCCTGATTCTGGACCTCCATCTCCTCCTCCAGAACTCCACATCCTCCACCACCTCCTCCCCCTGTTGGTTGTTGAGAGCCCACTCTACCTCTGGCTCCAACACAACGTCCAACACTACCTCCAGTCCGACTCTGGTTTACTCCGGGTCCAATCCCAACCTCGTACCTTCCAGACCAGAGCTTGTGTTGCTTCACACCTCCAGCTCCAGACTCCTGTACCGGAACCCCATTGCACCTCCACCTCCAGAACTCCGGTCACATCTCTGCCTCCGGACTTTGACCTCCTCCTCTGTCTTATCTCCTTGTGTTCCTTATTGCATTTCATTTATTATGTCTTGCCAATATTCCGGACTTACTTAGACTTCCGACTCCGGACCCTGCAGTCTCTACTGTATGGTGTCATTTAATCCTCTTGTTGCCTCTTCTTTATTTAGATGGCTGCTTCCTTTCCACATCAGTCAGCTGTTATTCCCCACAACCCACTCCACTCCTTCCCCTCTTGGCCTTGCCCTTTTGGGAAGCACCATAGAGTTCCAACCCTTGACCCTTGTGGTTGTTCCCTCATCCAGTCCCCCTTTGTCTCCTTCCAGTTCCCTTTGTCCTCTGACTCCACTCCTGTACTATTATATATACACTCTGTACATAGTTCCTGTACCCCCAGTCTGAAATCAATGACAATGATGACTGGATTGTCCCCCAAAGAGACTCCCCCTGCTAACCTGAAGTTAAGGACCACCTTAGACAACAAAGCAACGGCACAGGGCTCCACTTGAGTCACTGAGGCCAAGGTCCCTCCTTTCCTGAGTCCCTTCTCTGCTTCTGGACAACTCCACACTCTTCTAACAGAGTTCATCTACTTTGGCAGTCAGTTTACTGTCTCCCTCAATATAGAGGCCTCACTGTATTGTAACCAATGATGGTGGTCAATCCACCAGGAAGGGCAAGGAGGCTCCTCTCCTCATTTTGAAGATTTCTGTATAATATGCCCAGTATTTCAGTGCCCTGAGGTGGTTGTCCACCTCCAATATGGATGGCAATAAGGAAGAGAGTATTGAGCTCTCAGAGCTATATTTGCACACAGGGGTCTATTATCTACATGAGCTCCCTAAGTGTTTAATTTACCTGATATTAAAATAAAAATTTAAGAGCATTGACTCTGGCATCATGTGACTAGTCACAGCCAAGTCCCTACCATACAGGAAACTGAACAAACTCAGCTTAACTTTCAGCCCCAATGCAGCACTATACACCAAGGGTATTAATTTAGGGATATGAATACAGTTAATCTGAAATTACTTAGGGAAAATGTGGGAAAATGAGTGGGGAAATGGGGGGGGGGAATGAGGGGAAGTTTGAGGGGGTGTAAGGGGTTGGTGTAGGTTCCAACCCCAGTTCTCCTCAATCCTCAGGTCGTCAATAAAGTTGAGCTGTATGTGTTAGAGACCGGAGCAAGATGAAGGAGTTGTCTCCATGGTGGAGGGCTTTGGCCTCAGGGACTCAGACCAGGAGCACTGTGCCAAGTTACACGTTGTAATGGGTCTATCCAACTAGACTCGCGACAGGAAAGAGGGGGGGGATAAGAATCTCACTACAAGTCAGGTCTGAAGGTGGGGTATATTGGTCCTCTCAAGCGTGGTGCTGATAACTCTCTACCTAACAGTACAGCAGGTCACGGAAGAGTCCAATAGATAAATAAGGAAAGAGTATCACATGACAATAAGAAAATGGAAACATCGGCCTCTAGACACCGGAAATGAAATCAGAAAAATAAGGAAAAATAAGGAGTGTGTATAAGAAGCGTGTGAGAGTGCATGCTATGTATCTAGGATGTGGGGAGTTTGTTGAGCATGGTGGAATCGCGGGATTTGGCTCGTTTATGGTACACCGGCAAATCCCCGTTACAACGTCCGTGCCCTAATTTACTTACTGGCAACAAGAACTAAAGGGGGATCAACTCTAGTCGATTTTATCACTGAAGTGTAACCTATCTACAAGTTAAGTATATATAGTTACATTGAGGCAGGCCTGTGAATGGTGGGGCTGAGCAGGGCTGAGCTAACGGAGTTAAACATTAGCCAACTGAACATTACTGACAAGTTGGGTTATGGGGTTAGCAGAATGGCAGGCGATAACCCAGAAATGGAAAGGAGGGATAGCCCTGAAGGTAGATTTGCAGGGCAAGCAAGTGAATTGCCCAGTGGGGGTGGGAGTGTGCTAGCGGACGTTGGAGCTGTCCAGAAGCCTTCGGGGCTCCGTACTTAGGGAGGTGTAGGTAATATATTGAAAAGAGGGGGTGGTGACCATCGAGGGAGGTGGAGGTGATTGCCCAATATGGGGGCTCTGAGGTTAGTGAAGAAGGAGCAGAGGTAATCCAGAAGGATTGGAGGTAGTGGAAGACAATGGCCATGGATGGATATGACAGCATGGAGCTTTAATTATCAACGATGGGGAGGAAAAGCAGTTCCGTTCCTTTTCCCAAATTCCCACATTATTGTATATACATTGTTTATACATGTTTATTATGAGACACATATAGAATGGGGATAGAAATTAAGGGGTGGGGTTACCACTCCTTACAGGGGGGGAATGAGGGGAAAATTGAAGGGGGGAATGGGGGGAAATTTGGAGGGGGAATGGGGGGGAAATCAAGGATGGAATTGGGGGAAGAATTGAGGGGGGACATGGGGGGGAATTTGGAGGGGGGAATGGGGGTGTTATGGAAATGGGAAATTCCCATTTCTAGCCTCTTATGGCCTCTGTACAGTACAAAGTCACGTGATATGTAAATAGAAACAACTAAACCAACTGTCAGGGCATGGGAAAACGTTACCGTGACTCGCCGTCAGCGACCATTAAGGTCCGCTGCTCCAGCGTAACAGCCTGTTAAGGGCAGGGATGACAATCGTGGTGAAATGGGGTTTTGGCTTCAACAACTTGTTTGTGAGCGTTGTGCCTCGTACTTGACGCGGCCCTGGTATTTCAGAAGGCAGAAGGTGCGACTGAGTCAGACAGAGAGTGCAGGGGGTAACCCTAGTTGATTTTCGAACTAAAAGTACGAGGTAGGGTACAACCGGTATTTAAGTATAACGGAATGAATAGAAATAAGTTGCCAGATCTCACAGAGATTGCAGGCGGGCTTAAGAAGAAACGAAAACAAACAAAGAGTGTGGGAGAAGGACGGCCATGCATGGCCATCAAGAAAAACAAGCATGATAAGGAATGACTCATAGGCCTGTGGCGGGCCGTGGAAACAGGTAGCAGTGACAGGGAAGGGTGATGGGCTTGTTCAGGTGGTGTCGGGCGGGCAGCGGAGTTGATGGGGTCGGAGCGGAGGAGGAAGAAGGTGTGGGGAGTGATCACCTGACTGTGGGAATTGCCGGGTCGTGACACCAACCCAAAACACCTGATGTCAATGTTACTGTAAACACCACTGTTATAACATCTGTTACATTAACTGTAACACCTTCTCAATGTCATGGCCCTCTCCTGCCCCTGAATGCTATAGAAATGGGCCAATTAGGCCCCATTTTCATAACAGGGGGAAAATGAGAGGAAAATGAGGGGGAACTGGGGGGTTTCTAAAAATTTGAAAAAAAAGTCAGGGAAAATTAAGGAAAATTCAGAAAATGGGGACTTTCTAAAAAAGGAGAATGTCCAAAAAATCAGGGGAAATTTTGGGATAAAGTAGGGAGTGATATTTCAGGAAATTAGGAATAATTGGAAAAAAAATTGAAATCACTTTTTTGATAATTCAATGTGCATTGAAAAGTGCCAAAGTGGGGCAATGTAGCAATGTATGTTTCAGTGTTAAAAAAGTCTTCCACCATGCTTTGGTGAGCCAAATAACCATGGCTTTTTGACCATGGGAAATTGGGTGTCAAAGGCTTGGATGATATCTGAAGAATACATCAGCTTTTTGTTTGCTTTATTGGGTGGTATTTTTAATTTACTTCATTTGGAACACTTTTTTAAAACTGATTTATACCCTACATAACATGCATGGTTACATTGCCACACTTCAGTGCTTTCCAATTCACATAGAATCATCAAATTGGTTGAGTTTTGAGCAAGAAATGAGATGAAAGATAAAGTGCAAATTTTTGAATTTCAGAGTTTTCCTCAAAGTTTGTAAATAGCAATACACAAATAAGGTGCTGATTTTAGTAAACACAAAAGGTATATGAGCTCTATGAGCCCACTGAGCTCATAGAGCTTTCAGAGCAATGACAATGGCCATTTTACACACATATATCCATATATCTTTGCACTACTGGTGCCAAAATAACTAAGCAGATTTCATGGAGATGTGAAGACCATCCATTATTTAAAAACAAAAAGCTCTATGAGCTCCATGAGCTCAGTGAGCTCATAGAGTTTTGCAAGTAATGATGCTGGCCATTTAACATGCATTCCCAACAATGTATATACATATTATCTTTGCACTTAAGAGAACAAAATCATTTATATTTTTTATTTTCTTCACCCAATGTGTAGAGGGTGCACAGCAAAAAGACTCAATTTGTTCAGAGAGCTCCCTACCAAGTTTGCTGATGTGCTTCATCCACTCATTCACCCGTAGTTGGGACCACTCCAGGCCCCCTCTGGGTTTTCAGTAAACCACTTGGATGAATGCAATGAGAATAATGTAGGGCCCGGCCTCGGACTCGGAGGCACCCTGACCTCAACCCCCATCTAACCTGTCCTCACACTATGTGGGGCATGAGATGTATAGTAAAAGAAAGGGAATATATACACTTGCCTATGTGGGGCATGAGATGAGAAGAAGGGTAGAGGTCTCATCTCCCCACATGGTTGCTATATAAAGGAATGGGTCACATGCCCACAACTATACAGCTCCTAGAGTTGTGTAGTGTGACCCAGAGGGAACATCCAGGTGGCAGTGCCCAGTAAGTGTGGGAACGTTCTGGGCGAGTTGCTTGCCCAGAACTGTGGCTGTGACCTGTGGGAACATTCTGGGCGAGCTGCTCGCTCAGAAAGTTCCCATGCTATCCCGTGTGCGCGGATACACAACACAGAAAGGCAACAACAAGGCACCAATGAAGGAATGGAAGGAAGGGATTGGTTGGGGAGTCTGGGGCACCCTAGGGCAGGGTGCTGAACCCTGACAAATAATACTTGCAAGTTTGATCCATTTGTCCTTGACTAACAGTGACTGGTAATGTTCATCTGACACCACAGTGGTCTGTCCTACTTCATCAGTCATTGCCACCCTGCCAGCAAATTGACCTATCAATGAGATGGTATTGAAGGGACTTTGGTGGCCAGAATGCAGCCACTGGGCACAGAATTCCATATCGGAGGCAGCAGGTCAGGGCTGTGGGTATGACATAGGAAGTTGGAAGAGCTTTTGTCAGGGACAGCTCCGAAAGCGGCGAGGTCCCGGCGCAAGGGACTCGATGGGACAGGTGTCGGCTATGCATAGCGGCAGTCCCGTTGCGGGGTGAGCATCCCCGACCACTTAGTCTGAAGTGGGAAGTTGGATTATCATTAAAGGGGGAAGCTACAGTACTTACCTGAAGTGGGAAGTTGAGAAGAAGGCTGCTTCTTCTGTTCCCACCCCAGGTGCTATTATATACATGCGGTTGGGGTCATGTGGGAGGAGCCACGTCATCCCCACACACAGCTGCACTCCCCTGGGTATCTCCGTGGGAGATCCTGGAGGTGTGCCGCTCTGTGAGTGGGAATGCGCATGGCGATCAGGGGAGTGGGGTTAGGTGTGTAGTAATACATAGAGAAGGGGAAGTTGACCATGGAATGGAAATAGAGGGAAAGAAGGAAAGGGGAAAGAAGAAACAGGGAGTGATAGTGGGGGAGCGGAGTAGGGTGGCACGGCGCAGGGTCAGGTGGGGTGTGCCCTGACAGCTTTCCACATACTCAAAGTCTTTGCTCTCGTTGTGGACTAGCAGCATGTTGCCATCCACATCATCGTCATCACTGTCATCATCATCATCAGCGTTGTCATGATTGCTACTGCTGTTGTCACTGTTGTTAGCCTCGTTGTCCACCTGGGCACTTAGAGCAAGTGTTTTGATGGCCACGAGTCGAAAAACATGAAGGAGTCCTGATGTTTGCCACACACAGCTGAACAGGAACTAAAGTTGCCATGGGTTGAATCCAAGTTGATGAGCATTGTGAAGGTTCCAATTGGATCCCTGTCTGATTGGTAGAAGATCTTGTGATGGTTGGAAAACAGCAAGAAGTGGAGGTGATGGATTAGTATGTCCCATCTGTCACCATCCTCTAGACCCAACTGGAGGGCATTGCAGATGCCAGTGCTGCCCTCCTTTGGTGCCTGGTGAGCAGGATGGGGAGCAGATATTGCTCTGTCATGCAGTGTCGAATAACATAGGAAAGGAGGTGAACTCCAAGATCTTCATATCTCTCAGAGGTTGCTGAGTCCTGCAGATATGAAAATGGGATGTTATGGTTGCTATGATGATGATTGAGATGGGAAAAAGCCATATAAATGATGAACAGAGGGACTTACTCTGAATTGCTGTTGACCCAGCTGAGGACCAAAGGATGGGTGAACTTGACGATGGGGTTGATCCATTCAAAGTACTTTCTGACTCTGGAAGACAGCCCTTGCATCCAAGTGGGGTTATCTTTGGCATGAATCATGGTTATTTCATGAAGTTCCTGATGTGGGAGACCCTCTGTGCAATTCGACCACCCATATGTGGTGAGGAAGGCATTTCCTTTATGTGGATTGGGGGCTTCCATGGTCCCACTGTGCTGCCATCTGTAGCATTTGTTGTCAGAGAGCTTAGTGAAGAAGTCCTCCAAGTCAGTCTCATGGACACCGAAAGATGATAGGTCATTTCCATACACTGCCCATGCCTGGAAGCCACTTTGTCCTGGCAAAACAACCTGCATGAAGCTCTCAATGGGGTGGTGGGGGAAGCCTGTGTGCTGAGTTGCCATATGGTTTCACACCACCAAGTCCCTCTCTGGTCCAGCAAACAGACAATCAGGAAAGTTGCACATGAAGCCACACTGGATCTCAATGGATCAGATCAGGTGCACCTTGTGCTTAGGATGAGCTATCTCAGAAGGGATATCTAGATCATCCAGAATCTTCTCATAGTTCAAAGGCAGCTATGCACAACTGGAACTGTTTCATGGTTGAAAGGCTCTTTTAAGAGTCATTTGATTCGATGCACTGGGGAGTCTAGGGACTTTCAAGGAGAGCCGCTCATTGGGCCGTGTGCTCACAAGCGCTTGGTCATCAAGATCACCTTATCACCCAATGAAATGGGTTTGATTGAGCAAGCACACAAGGACTGCAAAGGTGAGGGAAGGTTGGTCACCCAAGCTGTGTGATGTATAACATGTTAAATGCTTCTGTTCAGAAGGGATGGTGCTCTTTTTGATCCTTGGGTGAGCCTGTGTGATTCTGCTGGATCTTTCCTACCTGACATGATATTTTTAGGCATTCTATTCTGGACCACAGCAGGAAAACATGTCTCCAGGACTAGACAAGAATTGTTGGTTGTTTGATTTGCAAGAGACTTTCAAGGAGAAGGGTGGAACCAAACTCAAGGCTCTTGTGACTCTCATCTCCTTTTTTGTCCAGTAGGGGAATGGAGCAGACCCAATACTAGACTCCAAGGGGGCATTGTGCAATGATATGTACCTCTTCATTGGCTTCCAATGGATCATCTGTTTTGGTGGCTCTGACAAGTCGATCTCATCCACTCTGCACTGAAGGTCAATGATATCAACTCAGAATCTGCAACCTCAGGTGATAGTGTCCATGTCCGATATAAAACTCTTGCCCATTTCAGTTCCAAGCAGGATTGCAGAGGCAACCCTTGCCATGTGTCGATCATTAGTGGTGTGGGTACAATGGGGCTGAACATCACAACAGCAAATGTTGTTATTTCGCTGTATGCTTCTTGGCTTCTGACCTTGACAATGGTTCTCTGATACTCACCCATAGGATCAACTTTGGAGCTCCCAAGATGAGCATCAGGTCATAGGCCATGTGCAACAGAAAGGGCAAACCAAGAAAGTCACAGTAGTCTGGCTGCTGGCAGATGGTACCACAGATACTTTACTGCATCAGTTTGCCCAGGGAAAGGCAAGGCAGAGTGAAACATTTGTTTCCAAAGCTAAAGGTATGTCCCTATTGAGGTCTTCAGTCATTTTATACTGACATACTGCCCAGCATTTTTGGCATTGAACAACAATGAAGATAGTGATGGGGATACAAGTGACAGTGAGGTTGACAATCACTCTCCTTCCATTGTGCAAGTGAAAGGGAAAGGGACAAGCCACAAGAGGAAGAGAAGCAATGATGTTGCTGACAAAGGAAAGAAGCAGAAAACAAAGGGGGTTTCAAGGGAAAAGAAGTCACTGCCCCCCCCCCCCCCAGCGCTTTCCCTGATCCTCTACCATCATCTTCAAAGGGAGAAGTCCCACTCCCTTTAGATGTTGGCAGGAGTAGCCCCATTGATGATGGCTCCCTGGATTTGTCTGGAGATGTGCATCAGCAAAAAATTGTTATGCTCCTGAGTGCTCCGGAGTATGGGGAGCACTGGGAGAATCAGGAGGAGATTGGCCGGTCCAGGAACAGCTCATTTCCTCCGGAGTTGGTCAGGTACTCCAGGGCACTCCCAGGAGGGCATGGAGCATTGCTTTGTGCACAAACATATCCAGTAAATACAATTTAATGCTTCAAAATGTATAGGGGTGAGAAGCTTCTGGGAGCTCCTGGAGCATTTGAAAATGAAAAGGAAAAAAAAGAGGGAAGACTCCCCATGAATACCTCCTACCACAAGACTAACACAACAAGACACTACTTAACATTTAGATCAAACACTATACTATACATCAAGGACACTGAGACTCACCAGTATACAGTCAAAATTTATGGCCTGATATATGATTAATCTGGCAACTTAATCACTTTCGGACTTGCAGAATATGGAGGAGGGGGAAATGGGGGAGAATGAGGGGGGAAATGAGGGGGAAATGAGGGGGAGAATGAGGGGGAGAATGAGGGGGGAATGTAGAGGGAAATGAGGAAAATTTGAAAAATAGGGACTTCTAAAAATAATTAGGGGAAAAATCAAAAAAATTCAGGAACTGTAGTGCCTTTGAAGTGCTTTCAGGATATATAATTATTTGCGAAATTGAGGAAGAAATGATGGAGAAAAATGGAAAATACTTTTGGAGACCCGAGAAATAATGAGAACTGAATTGATGGGAAAGTCTGGAAATTGAATGGGAAAGTGAGGGGAAGCCTTGTAGCATTGTTATTTTCTGCTGTTCTAATTTTTTCTGATTCTTCTTGGTCTCACTCCCAGCTGCTCCTGGATACTCCTGGAAGCTCCTGGGAGGGTCCAGGAGCAGCTAATGGAAAATACTTTTGGGGACCCAAGAAATAATGAGAACTGAATTGAAGGGAAAGTCTGAAAATTGAATAGGAAAGTGAGGGGAAGCCTTGTAGCATTGTTATTTTCTGCTGTTCTGATTTTTCCCGATTCTTCTTGGTCTCATTCCCAGCTGCTCCTCAATACTCCTGGAAGCTCCTGAAAGCTCCTGGGAGGGTCCAGGAGCAGCTGGGAGTGAGACCAAGAACAATCAGGAAAAATCACAACAGCAGAAAATAACAATGCTACAAGGCTTCCCCTCACTTTCCTATTCAATTTTCAGACTTTCCCATCAATTCAGTTCTCATTACTTCTCGGGTCTCCGAAAGTATTTTCCATTTTTCTCCATCATTTCTTCCTCAATTTCGCAAATAATTATATGTCCTGAAAGCACTTTAAAGGCACTATAGTTCCTGATTTTTTTTTGATTTTTTTTCCCTAAATTTTTTTTTTCAACTTTTTAGAGACCAAAATTTTCCTCCCACTGCTCCTGGCACATTGCATACTCCTCACCACTCCTAGCTGCTCCTGAACCCCCTCCCAGGAGAACACTATTGGCTCCAGGAGTGCCCAATCTGCTGTTTGTCTCCCACATGCTCCAGCCACTCCTGATGCTCCGGAGCATAACGGACTTTTGCTGATGTGCCTCCAATGTTCCCATCTTCCTCATCAGCCACTGATTTCAACCACATTTTTGGCAACACTGGTGCCATGATGTCAACATCATCAGCAAACCTGAATGTGGAGGTCTGAGAGCTCATAGAGCTATATTTGCACACAGGGGACTATTATCTATATGAGCTCCCTGAGTGTTTAATTTACCCGATATCAAAATTAAAATTTAAGAGCATTGACTCTGGCATCATGTGATGAGTCACAGCCAAGTCCCTACCATGCAGGCAACTGAACAAACATGTGGCACTACACACCAAGGGTATATAGCCAAATTAATATATAGATCAAATTTAGGGATATACATACAGTTAATCTGAAATTACTTAAGGAAAATGTGGGAAAATGAGTGGGGAAATGGGGGGAAAATGGGGGGAAATGAGGGGAAATTTGAGGAGGGAATTGGGGGGGGGGGGAAATGAGGGGGAAATGAGGGGGAAATGAGGGGGAAATTGGGAAGGAATGGGGGGGGGGGGGAATGAGGGGAAATTTGGAGGGGGGAATGGGGGAGAAATGGGGGGGAAATTGAGGTGGGAATTGGGGGGGGGGGAATGAGGTGGGGAATGAGGGGAAAATCAAAGGGGGGATGGGGGGGAAAATGTGGAGGGAATTGGGGGGGAAATTGAGGGGGGGATGAAGGGGAAATGGGAGGAAAATGAGGGGGAACTGGGGGTTTCTAAAAACTTGAAAAAAGTCAGGGAAAATTAAGGAAATTTCAGAAAATGGGGGACTTTCTAAAAATGGAGAATGTCCAGAAAATCAGAAAATTTGGGATAAGTTAGGGAGAGATATTTCAGGAAATTAGGAATAATTGGAAAAGAAATTAAATCACTTTTTTGATAATTCAATGTGCATTGGAAAATGCCAAAGTGGGGCAATGTAGCAACAGTGTTAGAAAAGCTCCCACCACGTTTTGGTGAGCCAAATAACCATGGCTTTTTGACCATGGGAAATTTGGTGTCAAAGGCTTGGATGATATCTGAAGAATACATCAGCTTTTTGTTTGCTTTATTGGGTGGTATTTTTAATTTACTTCATTTGGAACACTTTTTTGAAACTGATTTATACCCTACATAACATGCATGGTTACATTGCCACACTTTGGTGCTTTCCAATTCACATAGAATCATCAAAATTGGTTGAGTTTTGAGCAAGAAATGAGATGAAAGATAAAGTGCAAATTTTTGAATTTCAGAGTTTTCCTCATATTTTGTAAATAGCAATAAACAAATAAGGTGCTGATTTTAGTAAACACAAAAGGTATATGAGCTTTCAGAGCAATGACAATGGCCATTTTACACACACATATATTGTCATATCCATCCATGGCCATCAACTTCCACTGCCTCCAATCCCTCCAGACTACCTCCGCTTCCCTTGATGGTCGCCACCCCCTCTTTTAAATATATTACCTATGCCTCCCTAAGTACAGAGCCCTGAAGGCTTCCAGACAGCTCCGATGTCTGCTAGCGCACTCCCGCCTCTGCTGGGCAATACACTTGCTTGCCCTGCAAGCCCACCTTTGGGCCTATCCCTCCTTTCTGTTTCTGGGTTATCACCTACCATTCCGCTAACCCCATAACCCAACTTGTCAGTAATATTCAATTGGCTAATGTTTAACTCTGTTAGCTCTGCTCCACTCAGCCCTGCCATTTATGGGCCCACCCTCGTTGTAACTATATATACTCAACTTGTACATAGGTTACACCTCAGTAATAAAATTGACTAGAGTTGACCCCCTTTTAGTTCTCGTTTGCCAGTAAGTAAATTAGGGCATGGACATGTAACTTGGCACAGTGCTCCTGGCATAAGTTGCTGAGGCCGAAGCCCTCTGCCATGGAGACATTCCCTCATCTCAACCTAGTCTCTGACACACACCCATATTATCTTTGCACTTCTGCATCCTTAGGAGAACAAAATCATTCAAACATTTAATTTTCTCCACCCAATGTGTAGAGGGTGCACAGCAAAAAGACTCAATTTTTTCACAGAGCTCTGTGAGCTCTGAGAGCTCCCTACCAAGTTTGCTGATGATCTGTGACTGGTTCATCTCCCATTTCATCTGCCCCTAGCTCTCCTGGACTCTTTGCTTCAACCCTGCCTTCCTCAGGGTCCTCAAGCAACCAAGCAGAGGGTTCAAGACCTTCAAGTAATCCATATCACCAATGGGAGCTTGAGATGGTGCCTTCTGACAGTGATGAAGATGGAGAAGAGGGTGGTAGGGGTTGGAGGTGGCATTCGTTTCATGCTGCCTGGTGGGAATTCATCCAGTGATTCAACTGTACTGGTGGCAATCGTATTAGGGAGAAGGTCTGGAACAATGTGTACTCCAAACTTGTTTGGGCACCCTATTCTGACCTTTCATAAATGGGGTACACAACATCCAACGCCAAAAGTGCAGAGACCTTCCCTGCAGATATGGCAGGTCAAAGGCTTCCCATAATCATTCTCAATCCTTTGATCGATGATAAGGCTATGTGGGATGGATCTTTGACTTGGAGGGGGGAATGGGTGTCACCCACCCTGTAACATGAAGCCTTGTCTTATCATTACCATTATTTGTTATATTATTTGTTATAATTTTGCCAGTTTCAATTTCATTATCATTTTTTCATGACCAGAGAGTGGGAGAGCCACTCCGGCCTTGGGGCCCCAGGGAAGCAAGACAGGGGCCAGCTGGATTGTAGTGGGGTCCCAAAACTCAGCTAAATAGTCGAAAATGTTTGTGAAGAGCCCCAGGGAGATTCAGTTCGTGCATGCAACCCACCTATCAAGACTTCATTCACAACATGGTGCTCAGTATACAACAAGTTTTGGTTGCTTGCAAACATGGGGAGTGGACAATTCCCATGTCCACACTCACCCCACCATTCTGCCTGACATCCTGACATCCATGTGTGTGTTTCAGCAGCAAAATATAAGATTGAAAGAGGAGAATTAAGCTTATTTTTCTGCCAAGTTTCATATTAACAGAGATATGAGGACACTCAACACCATGTTGAATGGCATGTGCCTATCTCAAGATCCACCAAGCCAATCAGGATGAATGGCATATCAGCACAAAGCTAGAGTCAAGGAGAGTCCAATGGAGATGATGGGAAGGTGTTATATACATTGATTGGGAGGGACAATGTTGTGGGGACAAGTCTGTGCACTGCAAAAACTCAAATTCTGTGGATTTTACCCAGTGACACACACTACATATGTGGCGAATACCTTCTTTGCTTGTCCTTATACAATACCTCATACACTCATTCCTGGCATTTTCCCCAATATTCCTGCTTGCCCCAAACCCAAGTCCCCATGCCTGCCACATTGCACAAATCTCTACACCCACACATCAATACGTACTAGGAGGACAGTAGGGACATCTATATAACCATCCTAGACCCTGTCTTTCCCCAAATTATGGTGTATCCCTGGCCCTTGGTAACTTTACATGGTGTCAAGCCTCACAAGCCATTGGTGGTGCCTGTCAATAACTCAAGAACCACTGGGCCAAATGGGGTGGGTAAGGTACTGTTGGAAAGCCATAGGCAAGGGGGATTCAGTGGGAGTGACAGGAAGGCACTGGAAGCAGTAGTTGAGATTATCACTGGGTTGAACCTATAGTGACATCGGTGTCA